CTACAACAACTTCTTCCGCATGTTCGACCGCAACACCAAGCGCGACGTGACCCTGGAGGCCTCGCGGGAGAGCAGCAAGCCCCGGGCCGTGCTCAAGCCGCGGCGCGTGTGCATGGGCGGCAAGCGCCGGCGCGACGACGTCAGCGTGGACAGCCTGGACTTCACCAAGAAGATCCTACACACTGCCTGGCACCCGGCCGAGAACATCATCGCCATCGCGGCCACCAACAACCTCTACATCTTCCAGGACAAGGCGAACTCCGACATGCACTAGGCGCGGCCCTCACGACCGCCGCACGGGCGGGGGGGCTTTTGGGGCCTTGTCCCCGCTCCCCTGGCCGCGTGGCCCTTGGCAGCTGTGGTGCGTGGAAGCAAAGGTGGAAGAGCCAAGTTCGCAGCCACAGGGCGTGACGCCGACGGTTCAGGGTCTTTCGTCCACGCCTTCTCGGCCGCGGCCTTTGCCGCTCTCACCGGACTTTCCCTGTGTCTGGGTCCGTTCTCGCTCCGGCGTGTCAGCCGGCAGGGGCGTGGGGAGCGGCTCTCCCCACAGGCCCGGGGTCCCCCGTCCGACCTGGGCTTCGGGTGGCGACGGAGCAGCTTGCCTGTTCAGAGCCGACGGTCTCCCACTGCTCCGGGATGGCGGGCGTCTGCCGAGGCTGGGCGGGGGCAAGCCCCTCCCTTAGGTTTTCTGGATGTCTTCGGGCAGCCTGGGCGCCAGGCGCCAGGCCCCGTGCGGCTCCCGGGGCGAGAGGAGGGGCCGCGGGAGCCTCTCCGAGGGTGCCTGTCGTCCTTGCCTGACTTTGCCACCGTTTGCCCGGGCTCTGGGTTCTTCGCCTTCTTTTAGAGGCAGGGTCTCACTCTGTTGGCCAGGCTGGAGCGCCGTGGCGGGGGCCTAGCTCGCCGCAGCCTGGAGCTCCTGGGTTCAGCGGTCCTCCGGCCCCGGCCCCCCGAGTAGCTGGAACGACAAGCACACGCCACCACACCCGGCCAACTTTTGTGCTTTTTGTAGGGGTGGGGTCTTGCTGCGTCACCCAGGCTGGTCCCGAACTCCTGGCCTCCGTGCAGAGCCTGTGTGAGTGCCGGGCGCGATGCTTGGCCTGGGAGGCGGCCGGTGTCCGCCCTGTGGCCCTCTGCAGGAGCTTTCCTGTGTCGTCTGTCTCTCAGCGTTGCGCGAGCTGACACAGGCTCCCACCCAGGATCTTTTCGGCCCCTCCCCATGGCCGCGAGGTCGGTGTCCACTCTTCCTCCGCAGACACCAGCTGCCTGCTTGCAGTGTGCCAGGCCCTGAGCTGGGCGCCAGGGGTCAGAGGTGAATACGTACGATGCCCCGCCCACACGGGGCAACCGAGGCTCTGAACAGACAAATGGGTCGCTCTGGTGGCACCCGGGTCCTTGCACATGGTCCTCTCCGGTCTGGCACGTTAGCGGCTCGTGTGAAGGCCACGTGCTCATGGCAGGTTCTGGAAGGGCAGCGCCTCTGTGTCCTGTGGCGAGCAGGCGTAACGAGGCCAAGGCTCCCGGGAGAACGAAGGCGCAGGCCGCATGGACAGCATGCCCATCGCTCTGCTCGGTGGCTGGGAGCACGGCCCGCCCGTGGACGTCCGCTTCGCCCTGCTCTTCCTTTCCAAATGCACTGAGGACATTGCATGCTGTGACCGTCGTCGCGTCCGTTTCCTCTAAGGACACACCCCGTCCCAGAGAACACTGTCATTCGGGAGGCCGCCTCTGACAGGGGGGCCGCAGGGCATGTGGGGTGTCCACAGCCGGTCCTCCCGTCCGGCCAGGCCAGACCGCCCGGCCCACGACGTCTGTGCCCACGCGTTGCCGCGGCGCCACGCGGCTCGGCGTTTGATTTGGAAAGCGAGCGCGGGGCGCCCGGCCCAGTCCAACTTTCGTTTTTGCCAGATGTAACATAACCTAGGAAATAGACCAGCTGAGGTTGTCCTCAACGGATCACGGTATTCTTGTGTGTGTGTAAAAGCACAAAACGCATGTGCACTCTCACTTCCGGCCATAGAACATGTACACAGGGAAATGGATCCATTCGTTTTTGTTTTTAAATCAACGTGAATGAAGAATGTTTGTTTCTATATTGCTGTAAAATCCAGGTGGCCTGGACAGTATTATATGTACATATCTCTTCTACTTAAATTTACTTTCTTCCTCCTTGTAAAGGGGTCCGAGAATGCGGTAAGTTGTACAGAAGTCTTGTCGAAGCCAAAACCCGGCGCTGAGGGCCTGGCCCACGCCCCGGACGGCTGGCACACGCCAGCTCCCTTTGGGGGGTCAGCCGTTCAGAGCGGAAACGTGTGTTTGCAGCTGGCGGCCACCGTTGAACCCGAGGTTTCACATCTCCCCATCTTACACGGTCTTCGAAAAGGAGTCTCAACAGGTTCCTAGTTCCTTCTGTTTCAAACCGTGGGTTCCAGATCAAAAAGAAAGAAAGGAAAAGCTCCTCTTCGAAGAAAAGCGCATCTTTGGACCCCTGGAAAATGGCGACGCCCGGAGCAAGTCGTGGATAAGAAAACGTGGGTTGAGGGGAGACGCGGGGGCGGGGGAGGCTGCGCCCGAACGGGCGGAAGGACCCGCGTGACCGTCACAGACGTGGCGCCCTCGTCCTGCTCGTCCAGCCGCCGGCCTTGAATGCCCGCGGGCGCTCGTGCGGCCTCGTGGGGTGCGGGGCTTCCTTCGGTCTTGCTTGGAGCGCGCCGTCCTCGACGGGGCCGACCTCGGGGCGGTGCTGCTGTGCGTGGTGGCGAAGCTGTCAGGCTGCGCGTTCGGACTCGAGCTCATCGGTGCATTTTTCTTCCTTTGGTGTCTCACAAAGTATCCAACTGTGGAATAAAATTATAAATATGTTAATACCAGCTTTTTCCAATAAAATAACAAATGTTACATCGACAGCGAGGCCTGGCACGCTGTTTGTCTGGAACCAGGCTGGCCCCGGGAGGGGGAGTCCAGCCGGTGGCAACATGGCAGGCGTGCGGGGAGGCGTGGGGTTGTCCCACTAGCTTGCTCCGCATCGAGGCTTTGCTGCCTCCGGCTCGGAACACAGCTCTGGACTTCTCCGAGCTCTGGACTCGCCCCTGAGGAAACGGAGGTCATGGCGGCGCCTGCCTCGTGGGTTTCAGGCATGGCGGAGGGCGCGAGAGTGGCTTGGCTAGTGTAGAGCCCCGTGCCTCGCACACGCGTGCCACAAAGGCTGGCTGTCTTGTCTTGAAGTGGCGGTGCACAGCCCACGGCAGTTTCCAGACACTCTCACGCCCAGTCTACACGAGGAAACTGAAGTCCAGAGGGTGAAGGAATTCGCTCTGGATTCCACAGGGCCAGGTTGCTAGCTCGGGCCCGATGACTCCTAATCCAGTGCTCTCTCCAGCAGCACCAACCCACACGGGCCTGAGGGTCTCAGGGCCTGGAGGTCTGGGACAACAGACCATAGGGCACCTGGATTCTTCGGGAAGCCAGAGAGGCCCACCCCGCCCGCTGCAACTTCTGAGGCCAATGGGGACCCGGGTGGGGAAGCGCTGTGTGCACCCTTGGGGTGCCCCCACCGTCCCCCAGGCCAGGCCCTGCCTCTGGCTTTCCAGGGCGTTTTCGGCTTCAGACTTGGCAGGAGGAAGTCGGGGGCTGACCTGGAGGGGCTGCCTGCCGGGGGCTGTCCTTGGCGGAGTCCTCTGTCAACCACATGGCCTGCGGGACAGAGCGGGGCGGGGGAGGCCACTTCCTGGCTGTGTCTCCTTGGACACTTGGTTGCCTCTCTGACTGCACGACTCCTCGGCGACGTTGGCTGCCTGGTGAGGCATGCAGACGACTTTTTTGAGCCCCAGCGTCCCGCCGTGCTGGAGGTGACATGGCACACGTGGAAAGTAAGGTATCGTTCCGGCTTTGTGTTGTTTCCTTCTTGCAGGGCGTGGGGGTTACTGTGGTCCTACCCGTTTGACTCACGGAGAAACTGAGGCTTAGAGAGATGTGGTAGTTTGATGCATACATGCCCAAGTTCATCCAACTAGTAGGTGGCAGAGTCAGGACGCAAACTCAGAGGGTGACGGCACCGGGCGCGTGTGGACGCTCGGGATGGTGACGATGCCACATCCTCAGCCCCGCCGAGTCCAGCTACAGCACTGACCCAGCAGCCACTCTGGGCTTCTGCAGACATGCTCAGCTAAGGTTGTGGACCTCGAGAGCGGGAGGTCACCCGGGGTTCTCCAGGAGTGACACGTTCGCCGCATGACTCCTTGTAGGGGGAAAGACGTAGCCGGTGGGTCTGAGACAGAGACGACAGTGGCAGGGGGTCACGGGGAGGCGTCAGGAGGACCTGCGTGGCCGCCGCTGGCTCTGCAGACAGAAAGGGGCCATGAGCCAAGGGACGTGGGTGCTTCCAGAAGCTGGGAAGGGCAGGGCAAGGATCTCCCAGGCCCTGGAAAGGACGTGGCCTGTGCCCCTGGTGTAGACCCGTGTCTGGCTCGACCTCCCGACTGTGTGAAAACAAAAGTGTGTTCTTTGACCCACTGAGTGCGTCATTCATTCGCCAGCCCTAGGACCCAAGCCACCCGTGTCCCTTCAGCCTCCCTGTAGGTGGGGGCTCCTTCCCCGTCTACAGACAAGGGCCCTCGGGGAGCTGCAAGCGTCCACCCGAAGCCCCACCGCACGCATGCAGGCAGCAAGGCGGGGTCTGCAGCCCTGGCGACACTGCTGTCTTTCTGGGGGGGCGAGGCTGGGCCTTTTGACTGGGAGCTTCCGGCAATGCTTGATGGGGCCGCAGGAGGCAAAGGCGGACCCACGTGGCGGCCCAGGGGGTGAGCAGGGCTCCCCGAGGGCCGGGTACTTGTGGCTGGGAGCCCGAGGCCCAGTGGGGCATTGGCCTCTGTGCCCCAGCCAGGTCTGCACACTTGGATCGGCCCCGGCTCCACACCAGTGCTGCGCTCAAAGCCTGGCAGGCGCAGAGAGGACGTCCCAGCGGCCACGTGACACGGGGCTGTGGCTCTGTCTTCCTCCCTGAGCCCCTTGGGAGCTCGTCTGGGACCCCCGACCCTCCCTGGGCGAGTCCTGAGGCCCCCGACCCTCCCTGGGCCACGTCCAGCCCTGGCCTGGCAGGGGGGCCCCGCGGTGATCTCATTCCCCCTCCGCACTCCACGTCGTATTAGTAGGGGCACTTCCGAGCCATGCGCCCCAGCAGGCACCACGCACATCGTCTCACTAATCCACACGGCCACCCTACAAGGAGGATGCTGGGACTTCCATTTCTTTTTTTGAGTTGGAGTCTCACTGTCGCCCCAGACTGGAGTGCAGTGGCTGCTCCTGGCCACCACGGCCTCGACCTGCTGGGCTCCGGCGATCCTTCCGCCTTAGCCTTCCAAGGAGCCGGAACTACAGGTGCGTGCCACCACGCCTGGCTAATTTTTAAAAATTTACTGTAGAGATGAGATCTCGCCAAGTTGCCCAGGCTGGTCTCGAACCCTGAGCTCAGGCAATCCTCTCACCTCAGCCTCCCAAAGTCGCATTTTACTTAAGGAAACTGAGGCACAAGGAGGGAGGTGACTCTCCCATGGCCACAAACTCCGAGTGTTGGGGCTAGGATGTGAGTGCAGACAGCAAGTCCCCAGCGCCCACCGTCTTAGCTACCAAGCTGTGTCCCGGACCCCCTGACCACCTGCAGGCTTCGGGCCCCTGCAGGTGACATCCCGATGGGTGTTTCCTGGCCGCGAATCGTGCTCTTCCCTGCCTGGAACTCTTTCTGCCGGGCTGCTCCCCGAAGAGACTCCTGCACTGAGGCTCCGCCTCCTCCTGGCTCCTCCGGCCCCCGCCCTTGTGTCTCTCCTCCCAGCACAGGCCCCCCCACGGGCGCTGTCGCGAGGACCGTCGCTCTCCCACCGTAGAGGCCCGGGTGCCTGGCACAGGCCTGGCACTGACTCCGTCCCTGGGGACCCCTTGCCAAGCGAGGCTTTTGCACGCTGGGCACTGGGTCTTGTGCAGAACCCCAGGGCATCCTGCGAAACGTTGCAGGCTGACCCACTTCACTCCCGCGAGCCGCGAAATGACAGGAAGGGGACAGAACACAAAACCATGAAGGCCAAGGGACCAGGAGTGGGACTCGGTCTTTAAGCTTTGGGTAGCAAGAAAGCGGGGGGGGTGGAGGGGTTAGAAATGGCTTAGAGACGGAGGAAGCAGAGTCCAGGCCGGCGGGAGGGGCAGCCGGAAGGCGACCGGTTTGCGCCATAGAACCCCAGAATGGCTCCGGGCCTGGAGGCACCAGGGACCGCTGGAGATGGGGGTGCAAAATGTGGTTTTCAAAGTGCGGAGGGGAGGCTTGCTCGTGAGGAACTGGACCAGAGGCTGCAGGACCTGGGAAGAGCTGCGGGTGGAGGATGGCTGAGAATGGTGACACTGCTCAGCCCACCCCAGGGAGGAAGTTCAAGCCTCCCTCCAGGACACTGGCCAGCTTACGAGAAAAGAGCGAGGCTCTGGCATTTGGGGGTCCCCCAAGACGCTGCTCGAGCCAAGCACCCAACCAGGAAGCCCGTCATGTGAAGCCCACCCCCTCACACGCACACACAGCTTCCAAGAAGGTTCTATGCTGCTCTGTACGGAGATACAACCAGCCCAGGACCGCCAGACGTTTGAGGAGAAAGACCACAGTTAAAAAAACAAGCAAGCAAAACAGAAGAACACGAAGCTGGGATCTTCAGCTCTACTGCAAAATGGAATGAAAAAATTTAAAAATATCATTGTGAGCCAGGCTCGGTGGCTCAGCCTGTAATCCCGCACCTTGGGAGGCTGAGGTGTGTGGATTGCCTGAGCCCCCGGGGTTCGAGACCCGCCTGGGCAACTTGGCAAGACCGCATCTTTACAATAAATAAAAAAAAAAATTAACTGGGCGTGGTAGCGCACGCCTGTAGTTCCAGCTCCTTGGAAGGCTGAGGTGGAAGGATCGCCGGAGCCCAGCGGGTCGAGGCTGCGGTGGCCGGGAGCGGCCACTGCACTCCAGTCTGGGCGACAGAGTGAGACTCCGACTCAAAAAAAAAAAATTGTGAATATCTACATAAAGACTGGGCATGGCGGCTCATACCTATAATCCCAGCACTTTGGAAAGCTGAGGCCGGAGAATCGGCCAAGGCCAGGGGTTTGAGACCAGCCTGGGCAACAGAGCAAGATTTCTGCAAAGATCTGAAGATAAAACTGAGAAAATGTCTCAGGAAACAGAACCAAAAAAATCAGAGAATCTCAAAGTGGGTGAGATAGATTGACAGCCCGTCACAGAGGTCTCAGCGTGCAAATCTGAGGAGTTCAAGGAGGAACTTGAACAGAGACATGGAGGGGGGGGAACCACTGAAGATGTTTTCTGGGCCAGGCTCGGAGGCTCAGCCTGTCATCCCGGCACTTTGGTTTGAGACCCGCAGGTTCGAGACACACCTGGGCAACTTGGCAAGACCTCGGCTCTCCAATAAATCAAAAACTAGCCAGGCGTGGTAGCGCGCGCCTATAGTTCCGGCTACTCGGAAGGCTGAGGCGGAAGGATCGCCGGAGCCCAGCGGGTCAAGGCTGTGGTGGCCGGGGGCGGCCACTGCACTCCAGTCTGGGCGACAGAGTGAGACTCCATCTCAAAAAAAAAAAAAAAAAAAAAGACACCATTTTCTGGATTGAAAGAAGCAACATTTCCAGAGTAAAAGAAGACACAGTGTCCAGCACAACAGAAGGAAGAATATCCATTTTGCAGGCCATTCCTATGAAATGTCAGAACACCGGGGACAGTGAGGCTAGAATGTCATTAGGCTTTCCAACAGCAGTAAGGGAAATTAGAAAATAAGGGAGTTCTGCTTTTAAATTCTAAGAAGTTATTCTAACCTAGAATTATTCCCCGTCCAACTATTAATTATACGTGAGAGAGAATTAAGGACAATTTTAC